ACACTTCACCATTTGGGAAAGTTTAGTCCCACTGCCCTACAAAGAGATAAGCGCAAGTTTGTTAACGTATCTCTTTTTCCGAGGCCACAGGAAATAGGAGGCTACTGCCATAATCATCATTTTCAATAACACTCGTTCCGTCGTGTGATACACCACGTGGGTACAATGACACCAAGTGTAATTTTAATCAGCCGAGGGAAAGGACAATGGATTTGGCGCGTGACAGGGCTATAATAACGACTGCGAGCATCATGTAATCATGAACACTTGCGGTGTGCTGGCGAAAAAAAAGAACAATTCTAACTCCACCTGTTGCCACGCGCGCTTATTTCTTTATTTTCATGTCATCGCGCTTCGTCCCCAAAAAAATTGGTAGTACAGCTTGGCGCAGGCTGCGCTGAAAGGTTTCCGAAACTTCACAATTGTTTGATATTGTTTTGTTTAGATTACAAACGCGAGGTGAATAAGCGAGCTTGTGCAGGAGCTAAAGCGAGCACCAGTGATAACGTGGGAAGGTAGGATCAGGCCTGTATAAAAGCAGACTATTTGCAATGACGATCACATTATTGAAGACCGACAATCGTGCATGCCGCTATTCATTGTTGCGCTGTGAATGTAACTTCTTTCGCTGATGGGCACAGGTTCACTCACTACCGATTTTGGCGTACTTCACCGTCACAACCACGTGGAAATACGTACGCGTTTAAAATTTTCACATGCATACTGAATTTCTTCGTGTTATTTTACGAATTGGGCCATTTTCTACTTTCGTCCTCCCATGCGCTTTGCCAATGGACACAACAGGCGACAGACTTCCACAATGATCTGTAGACCTATGGTAATGTCGCATAAAAAGAGTGACTGATCACCATGTTGTGCTCTCTTTCTCTCTCTCTCTCTCCTTGTATTTATATCCTTAATTTTCTAAAAACCTCTTTCCTTTCACCAGTGTATGATAGCAAGCCAGCCACTCTGAAATGTTTATCTTCCCTGCCTCTACTGTTACTTTTTCCACAGCGCAACTCCGTGTGTCTAATTTGTATTTTGTACGTTTCCATGTCATGGGTAGTACTGGAAAAATTATTGCGATCTTGCTCCGGCTTGAGATGAGTTTATCTGCTCGTGCGTAGCAAACGCAGTGAAGAGCCTCAGTTGAGGCTCAAGAAAATGTTCGATTCAGAGGTGAGTACCTCACGCTTGCTCAAACGCATTGTTAAGCCTAAACAATACACAGCCACGCTCATAGGTCGCAAGTCGAGCTCGCAGCATGTCTGTGCCTGTGTCCGTGTATAGATGATATATTTATATTGGGATGCTGTATGTATTTATACTGCGTACGCAGAGTGTGCATGATGTCATCACTTGCTTAAAGCAGCACGCGACAATCAGCTTATGTGAGTTCATTCATAGGCGGAAGTGATGAATCTCCGACTGTACATTTTTCTTGTCATTTGCACAAACTTGTCGAGATATTCATACACATAGTTGCAGTGGCTTTCTATAGACGTCAGACTCTGTCCAGGTGGCGTTGCGAAAAACGCCGCCATCAGCGCCCCCATCGACGCGCCAGCCAAAAGTGGGTAGTGCAAAGTGAGCCGTCTGCAAGCGAACGTGCATAGGCCCTCCTCTTTCGTTGACCTTGAGGAGCGGTTTTCTTAAAATCAAGGACTTGGCAAGCTCTTACTTTAATCGAACCTCGCTTAAGAAAAGTACGAAACTCATCGAAACAAACCGTACGTACAATTCAAAAGATGTTTCTGTTAATTCGGCGCACTGCAACTGGCGCTTTAAGTGCGGGCGAGCATCGCATGACATCGAGTCACAGGCAAGCACTCCGACGTTTGTTATGTAACGCTTAAATGCATTAAACTTGGGCATAAACATGATGCCGAAGCGATGAAGTGCATACACGAGCAATCTATCTTACGACCAGTGATACGAAGTTGACTTTATTCAGCACAAATAGCCCTGGCGATTTTTCGCCATTGCAGTTGCATTCTCCATCGATCTGTCGCTTCCTGTGCGTTGAACTGTTTTATTACGCGTGATAGAGTGCTCTGTTGATGGTTGTCGTTCGTTTGTATATACTGCAAACGGGGATGTATGCGTGTCTACTTTCTCGGTGCACAACGAAATGCAAAACTGAGGCCTCCGAGATAGCCCCGGCAGTCGCAGGGACCAACGGCAAAAAAAAATAAAACTTATTATAATCGTGATCATTTTGCGATTTACTTGTACGACGTGCATGTATGCATTGCATAAATAAAGCCGCTACTTAGAGCCTTGAAAGCCCTCAGGCGTAATGCTGTGAAGCTTCAGGTTACGGAGGCAGTCGCGGTATGTGCGATGTTCATCTTGCGCGTCACCTGTCTACTGCTGCATGGTGAGCACCACGGTCAGAGGCTCTGTTGAGCATCATAATCAAAGTTACTACGGTTCTCCTTGATATCAAAGCTACTCAAAACAATAACAGGAGACACATTATCACACTGTCCCATGTGAACGACCATAGACAACGCGAGTGATTCGCTTACCCGACACAACAGCCCATGTCCAGTGGTCTCGCTGTACTGTTCCGTAAAATCTGCGAAAAACAGTAAAACAAAGTCCTCAACGTCCGTAGCAATTCACAATGCAACTGTAGCGCCGGCTGGAGGTGTTTTTTTTTTTTTTTTTTTAGAGCGCGGAGCTGTTGCGTCTGCTTTTGTTTTCGCCGTCGTTCTGGCGAGTGAACCAGCAAGCACTTCACGGCGGTTCGGTGACGCACCTGCCTAGCGGAGAAAAACTCGTAGCT